AAAAAAAAAACTGTGGGAAATTAGATCTTAGCCTCACAACATGACAAACCCTTTGTAAATGTCTCAGACGTGATAGTGTTCATAAAGGTAAATGCACTGAGCTCAAGATTAGATCGGTTAAAGCCCTAACATTACCCATCCAATTTTAACTCCCACCGCAGGACCTATCGATGAAGTCATGAAGTGTCCATGATATATAATATCATGTAATTCTTACAAATCCCACTCAGATTCAAATCTCACACTTTTATCATTAGCGATTTCAGCACGTTCTTATGTTATAGGCATGGTTAAAGCTAAATTGACTGAGCTGAGATAATGTTATCACAATAAGATTAACGAACTTAACCAAACTTAACTGATTTTTAAAATAAAGTTAAAGACCCCCAAACCTGTGCGTTTAACAATGTTAAACATAAAAAATCACAATGCTAGTACTGGTAACCATTGGTTATAGTTCCCAAAAACTATACTGTTTCGGATCTAAAGCGAAAACTGTACAGAATAAATTATACAAACCGCATTCACTTGTTTCCTATTTTCGGTTTTCAACAGATGCGCGACGCCATTATTGATGGTGAACGCTGTCGCTATGCACCCAGGAAACCTCGCGAGATCTTGTTAGGCTGCCTACTTCTCTGGTAGATTCTGAAGTGGTCCGTATTATTTCATGCAGTGATTATTTTAATGTAAGTATATTTTTGGAGTCATAGAATATTTTATGAGTATTGCATTTCGCTTACAGTTATACTATTTCATATTGTTGATTTATTGTTAAAGTGACAGCCTTGACTCAAATACGTGGGAGGAAGAACACTTGCGCGAACAGCCTGTTGAATGTTTATTATGGGAACCAAAAACATGGCTACCTGCGTGCTGCTATTGTCCAGTGTTTAGCCTCGGTATACCGACACTACTGCGGCAGTCTTTGGTAAGTTCATTCTGTTTTCCTTCTGAACCCTTCAAATCGACAACTACAGAATGTTTGTTTTCAGTAATTTAGAAAAACAAAAGCATTTGATGTCTCTCGAGTTTTATGATTTCCTCGTCTAATTTCCCGGCGTAGGCCTAGGATCTAGATCTAGATTCTAGATCTTACTGTACGCTATAATCAAAATCATTTCAATGTTTTACTAGATCTAGACTCTAGATTTAGATCTAGCTAGACTAGATGATAGATCTCGTTTGTGTTCTAGTTCTATGCTATGCATTCTTTGTATTACTACTGTATGTATTTGTTTCGCATAAATAGAATTATTAGAGGCCGGATTTTAAACTTATCTGTAACTTTCAAAGGTAGAATTTGTACTGATGATTTATCGTTGCTCTGCTTTTGGGGGGAAAAAAGAGCAAAAACAAAGCCCGTTAATTAAATCCACGTTTGTGAGGGTCGTCATAACTGGTGTCATAATTATAGCCTACCTGGTAATGGTAATTGTATTGTATTGTCTATCGCCGTGGTCTGCTAAACTAAGGTCCATACTTTATCAATATCAACCTCGACCCTTACATTTTTTTAAAAAGTATCTTGTTTTGTGATGATCTTTTCATCTAGATTCTACATTAATTTTTTTTTAAAAGGTTAAAAAAATTCACATATATGTGTAGTTTCAGTTGTTGCCAATTTTCTCACATTTCGGCTCCTTTACTTATAAGTTCAAGATAAAGTAATATTACACTTTGCTTGATTGTCAGTCTGTTTACTGTCTCCATAAACTCTTCACTTTTTCTTTCGTTTTCTGTCAGGCCCAATTCCTCTCGTAAAGAATACTTTAATAATTTTGGTTCTGAGAGCAAGAAATTCTTATGATACATGAATACAACTTGACAACCCCCCCCCCCCCCCCCCCCCCAACCACGCCCACACACAATAGCCTCCATCTCGTAGTACACTTCTCTCAGCCTCTCATAGTAACAACACGTTTCCAAAAGGGCTTCGACCTTTCTTTACAAGCAGCGTACTGCCGAAGTATTAATTGTCATCTAGTAACTGTAACAATTATAATACCTGTGCACATAATTATTGTGAATTGAACACCTAATAAGTTTCTTAATTTAAGTCCACTTGTTCTTGTTTTCTTAATTGTTTCTACGTTGTTGTAGATAACAAAGGAAACGTTAATAAACCCATGTATTTACCACTCTTATTATAAATGCTGCAAATTATGAAGGTTTCTGGAGACGATATATGGTCACTTTTAAGCACAAGGGGGCTATCCCGAAAAATGCTGTTTTGAGAAAATCGAAGGTAAAGTTGCCGGACCCTTATTCAGTTTCTTTAAAAGACAAGGAGAGTTTTCTCTATAACCAAACAAATAAACTCAAAAATGAAATCAAACTTCTCCTGTTGGTAGGGCAATGCCCACTTTTGGTGTGGGTCAAGATTTCTGGAAACCCCCGAAATCTCATGGTTAGCCCGCTTGTACTTAAAAGCGACTATATTATGAGGACAAACATTCTTGCCGAAGGTGTTCATCAATTAATTAGAGCCTAGATTCCACCTCAAGCGCCCGGCGAGCTTCACGAGACAAACAGTTCACACGTCAGAGCGATTAATTTGAAGCAACATCGGTGTCCGTTATTGATCCATCAGAACAGCCCAGGCAGGCGCTGCGCTGTTCAGCAATGACTGGTTTCTGAGTCATGGCTCCAGTGTGACCCCCGTTGTTGTGCGATAATCCACTGATTATCCCCACTCTAGTCGTTCCAGACTAAAATTAGACGTCTGTATAAGCCCGCGGGTCAAGTCTGAACAAAAGAGAAGCTTGGTTATTGTTACTATTTTGATAATAATATGGTGGTAAATTCCGGCGCCAACTGACTGATTCCGGGTATTTTGTGGTCTGTGGGGAGTGATATATAAAGTTTCACGCAAAGTTTACTAAGCAGCCTGTGCGGAACGATTAGGAAGAACGAAAACACACACATACACACACACACACACACACACACACACACACACACACACACACACACACACACACACACACACACACATCTTGTAATCTTCTATTGATGTCTACTGTTATTGACTTTATAAAATATACACCCGGATTTCCCCAATTGTTTGTTTTTTTACACGTACGA